GAGTGCAGACTTTTTGTATTGTAACCTTTTTCAATGTTTGTTGTGTGCCGGTGGGTAAATAGACAGTGGCTGTTTGGAAGGAGCTGTTCTGAGTCACATTAAGCAGCTGGTGATCACAGGCTCCCACAGGGAAGGGTCTTGCAAGTGCCTCGTGTTAAGGCGGTTGGAAGCAGGGTGGCTGCCACCTTGGGGTTCAGTCTAAAAGTGGTAGAAGTTCAGAATACCACTCAGAGGTACAGGTAGCAAAATGTGTCAGCTGAAGGCTGCACTCATGAAGGCCAGCAAAGGAGTACAAGGCACCACTTGCTTTGCAATCATGAGTAGGGTGGGAGAACAGATGCTGGTGCTCCAGTCTAAATAGGGTGAACTACAGAGTTGCTCTCTGGGAGAAGTGCAGGTAGAGTTGAAAGACACTCTGTCGGTTGGAAAGTGTGTCTATGGAGAGAGCAGGCGAAGAGATCACAGGTGCAGCTCACCCCTGAACCATAACACAGTCCTTTCTAAATACAACACACAGGCATTTTAAAAAAATTGAAGAGTCCTCTTATGTATGTTTTGGAAAACAAAAAAACAAGGACTTTAAAAAAAAAAAATGAAGCTATACCTATCTCCTAGGACTGGAAGGGACCTTGAAAGGTCATCGAGTCCAGCCCCCTGCCTTCACTAGCAGGACCAAGTACCGATTTTGCCCAAGATCCCTAAGTGGCCCCCCTCAAGGATTGAGCTCATAACGCTAGGTTTAGCAGGCCAATGCTCAAACCACTAGAGCTATCCCTCCCCTCCCCTTCCCTTTATGATAGACGTGCTCATTCTTCCACAACCATTTCATTTTATATACGCTGCTATTCAGTTTTTATACTATCCGCATCATCATTGTAGGAATGTTTCACTGAATTGGGAACAACCTTACACTGCAGTTTTTTCAGAGTATTTCCTTTTCTCAAAAAGACATGAGATGCCCTGGTCAATGTATTTTTTTTTGGTATGTATTTTTATATTGGTGGGTTTAGCCAATAAGCTTATGAGATATCCAGATATCTTTGGGTGCCAGTCAATCTAACCCCATCTTCTTTTTCAATCTGAAGTTATTAAACCTTGCTGTGTGGCGTTTTCAGCCATTTGGGCCTGTAGAAAGGGTGTTGGGAAGACACCCTTCTCCATGTCAGTAAACTGAAGTAGAGGGATACACATTGTAACTCTCCTTTGGTTTGAAATATTTGCTACTCCTATTCCTTTATGAATTATAAAAATAGCAGAGGACAGTAAAATTTTATTTTTAATGTTGCCAGATGTAATTCAGAAAATCTCTCCCAACTTGTAAAATGAACACAATGTAATCTTTAGACAATACACTATACAGCGGTATATGGTACGGTCGGGTTTACACCTTCACCAGATTTAGAGGTTGTCTCTGCCTGAAAATTGTAAGTTATTGTAGAATGTCTGAAGCGATCCTGGCTGCTCCCTTTAGAGCCCTGGCTAAGCGTTCGCCTTTCATGGTCATGGTGCTGCACCAGTAAATCCAACAGGCGGTTGCTGCTAACATGCCTGGATTGGTACAGTCTCTCCGGGCTAGGAACATTTCAGACATTAATAATTCACAGCCTCTTCTCCAAGTTTTTCTACAGGCCCAAAAAAGCCTGTTTCCCTCAGGCAGGCGTCACATTGGCCAGGGTACTGTACTAGCAGACCTCCATTTAAATCTTTTTCCCCAGGACTGGGATTATCTCAACAATGAGTAAGAAGCTTCTCACCCAATGATTCTCTACTTATAAACTTATAGAAGTGTTTGATCCCCTCAGTGCAGTACAGAATGTTTTGTTTCTTCCAGTATCTGGAACAATCATTTCTTTCTCATCTCTTGTTTGATCAGAGACATGGAAAAGAGGAAGATCGTGGACCTCTGTAGTACCCTACTACACTAGTTTTTGATGTGGAGTTAACTTTTCCCAGAAGGGAGTGAGCACTGGTACAGCCCTCACACATTCAACTCTATTGCAGGGACTAAATAACTTCCACATTCAAAGAAAGTTAGACACAATGATACTGTTGCAGCTCAGCAAGCCACAGGTGTTAGAGAATCTAGGCTGTGAAATGTTTCAGTGGTAGCCATGTTGGTCTGTATCAGCAAAAACAACGAGGAGTCCTTGTGGCACCTTAGAGACTAACAAATTTATTTGGGCATAAGATTTCGTGGGCTAGAACCCACTTCATCAGATACATGGAGCGGAAAATACAGGAGCAGGTATAAATACTTGAACAGGTGTGAGTTGCCTTACCAAGTGTGAGATCAGTCAGACAATTCAATTAACAGCAGGATACCCATGGAGGAAAAATAACTTTTGAAAGTTGTGAAATGATACCCTAACTTCTCTTATTCTTACCTAGCTAGAGGGTAGAGAGATTTGCAATCATAGTAGATGGATTGAAAAGAATCAGTCATTCTAAATGGAAAGTCTTGGGACATTAAAGGGAAAAATGACTAAGCTTGTGCCCTTTTTTTTGTGTGTGCTTCTTTATGGTGCATGTTTTCCTCTCCCAACTGCTTTTTTAAACTCAAAGTGACAAAGAACTTGAGAGTTGGTGGACCTTGGAGGGAAAGATTTTAACCCAAGCCTTACAGAGTGATAAATTAACAGTATCTGTGCAGGACTATGGATACCTCAGAGACCTCTGTTCAGAGTGCAGCTATAATTAAAAAATACACAACCAGATGTTAGAATGCATATGGAATAGGATGGAGAATAATACCATTACTTACTCGTTGAGTCTGCTCTGGAATAGTGTGTGCAATACTGGTCCTGTGTCTCAAAAATGGAGAGGGTCAGAAAAGGTCTAACCTCTTAAGATGAGACCTTCACAGAAGGCAGCTTGTCCCACATCTCCCTGCAAGGAGATTTCCTGCATCTTCCCCAGAAAAAGTTAGTGCTGGCCAGTGTTGGTGATCATACTAGGTGGACCCTGGTTTGACACAGTTTGGCAATTCCTCTCTTTCTAAAAATGGCTGCTTTTATCACACACTGTTTTTTCATTAGGGCAGCAATCTTGTGCTGGGGTCCACTATCGCGGTCAACCATTCAGAACTCAACATCCGCATAGGAAATGCCCCCACAACACTGTCTAGACTGAACAAGAGGGTATGGCAAAACAACAAACTGACAGAACACACAAAGATCTGTGTGTATCGTGCATGTTATCGGCACACTTTTGTTTGGGAGTGAGACATAGACCTTATATGCTCATCAGGAAAAGAGGCTCAACAGCTTTCATATGCGTTGCCTTCGTCGAATCTTTGGAATCTCCTGGAGGGACAGAGTCACCAACACTGAGGTGCTCAAGTGGGCCAGCATACCCAGCATGCAAACACTCCTCAAACAGAGGCACCTCTGCTGGCTTGACCATGTGTCCTGAATGAATGATGGGCACATCCCAAAGGACATCCTCTACGGTGAATTGGCATCTGGAAAAAGACCCAAAGGACGCCCAAAATTGCATTTCAAGAATGTGTGCAGGCAAGACCTCAAAGAAATGGACATGGATGTGGACCAATGGGAAGATCGCACTCAGGACCGCAGCCTTTGGAAACAAGAACTTAAAGGTCTCTGGAGTTACGCAAGAAAGCTGTCCAGCTTAGCAGAGGAGAAAAGAGCTTGCAGAAGGCAGAGCCCAAAGGGTTGAAACATCACCTTTAAATGTGACAGATGCAGCAGAGATTGCAGCACTCTCTCGAGTGCGTCTCTTCAGCCGCAGCTGCCATAAAACCAACTGAGTAAATTCATTACCTCTCAGGGGCACATACCCATGGTCTCTCAAGTCTGAAGGATGCCTACTACTTGGAGCAACAGCAGCAGCTGCCGCCCTTCAGAGGAAAGCAACACTTCACTCAATACTGCCCAGAACTTTTTACTACAGTGAGACTATGGGAAAGGAGACTTGACTCAGAGCTAGGCCAAGACTCCCACTCCTACTGGAGATTGAAGAGGGCCTATAGTATATGAGGAATACCCTCCAATATGGCAGGGCAGATGGAGTTCTCACATTGCTCTTTACAGCATGGGCATTGTATAGCTGGTTTTCCCTACAGGACCTTTGTCCTTGACTTTAGGCAGAGTTTGCTCCCCCTCTGCAAAATATGGAGGTGGACTACTTCCCATTCTCACTGGAGTGAAGGAGTCTGATCCTATACTAGGATGATACAAAGTCTGATTCATTGCTTCATGAAGAGCAGACTTGCATGGAATAGCTTCTGTGCATCTAATGCATAGTCTCCCCCCAGCCTCTCGAGGGAGTCAGAGTGGTCAGCTATAAAGGCTATAGGATAACTAGTCAGATGGTACATCTACACTGTGATCTAGGGGCATGATTCCCAGCTTGCATACACATTGAGCTAGCATGAGTATAAATAGCATAAACAGGAGTGGCATGACTTAAAGGCCTGTCAAGTACAAAACAGCCTGAAACTGGTGGGTATGTACTCAGTCCAGCTTGCCACTGCCCATGTTTCTTGACTACATTGCCATTTACACTCTCACTAGCTTGATGAGAGTTAGTGTGAGTATGTGAACATGAGCTGGGAATATCAACTGGTAGTGTAGTTGCAGCCTGTACCGAATCTGATTTATTTTCTGGACAGCCAGTTTAAAGGTGTATCCAAGGCTAGTGTGTGTGTGCGCGTGTGTGCGCACACACACACACACACACACACTCTAGAGAACTTGACAGTGGATGAGTTGGTGTTTTAGTGATGATAGGAATCCATTCTCCCTTTTGCACAGTTGCTGTTATTGTACACTGACAGGTACAGGAAAGCGAGACCCCTTCCTTCGAGTATCTAGTTTATATTAAGCTTGTGCCAGCACTAGATGCATCAGTATCCAGGCTGAGAGTTTGTACTGAGAGAAGAGAGCACAGCCTGTTAAATTTTACAGGGAACAAACCATAAACGTGGGGATCCTGTTAGGCACACGTTCTGTGTATTTATTTATTTACAGTAGCTTGTGTGTATTGTTTCAGATTTGCACTTTACCCTTCATGAAAATCAGTTTATGAAGTAATAATAAAGCAGCTATGATCAGACACAGGAGGAGTCCAGTGGACAGCAAGTTTATGTGTCAGCATCTGGAAGAGAGGAAAAATGTTATTTTGTTGCTTGATTTTTGTAGAGCTCTCCAGTAGAGGAAACATGACACTTGATATACTAGTAATTTGCAGTTCATCAGTCTTGCAGTGCTGGGTCCAAGAGTTTGGTCTCACTTCTAGCAAGCCATAGTTCTGATCACCTTCAAGAACAGATAGGGCTAGCTTACTATGTGTTTGTACGTTCCCTAGCACAGTAGAGCGCCAACTAAATTCAGGGTCTCTAAACCCTATTGTAAACACATGTAGATCAACTGATCAGTGAATTCTGGCTGCTAGAGAGTGTGATTGTATGAAGCTAGTCCTTCACCGAGACAGAAGAAACTGTAGGTTGACATTTTCAATTCAGTCTGGGGGGATTAAGATATCTCTTCCATTAAAATGGGAGGTCTGTCTAAATGTACACATCTTTTTCTTTAGTGGCGTTTTCTACTCCAGTGAAATGGGGATATTGTGTAAATTGGGCCTGAAGCTTAGTTGAAAATGTTGAGGCTTCATGTTTGTTTGGCTACAAGCCAGTTGTAAATTGTATAGATCAGGGGTCGGCAATCTTTCAGAAGTAGTGTGCCAAGTCTTCATTTATTCACTCTAATTTAAGGTTTCACGTGCCAATAATACATTTTAACGTTTTTAGAACGTCTCTTTCTATAAGTCTAGAATATATAACTAAACTATTGTATGTAAAGTAAATAAGGTTTTAAAAATGTTTAAGAAGCTTCATTTTAAATGAAATTAAAATGCAGAGCCCCCCGGACCGGTGGCCAGAACCCAGGCAGTGTGAGTGTCACTGAATATCAGCTCGCATGCAGCCTTTGGCACACGTGCCATAGGTTGCCTACCCCTGGTATAGATGAATACAGGCAATAAGCCCCAATGTTCTCACCTAGTTTAGTCGTGTATGTTTTTCTCCTCAGTTGGTTGAGGATGAACAATCCAGACTGGCCCAGCCAATACATAACCGTGGAGACCAGAATATGGTTCAGAGTGCTGATCTAGAAAGTTTTACAAGATTGTTATTGACAGAATAAAGGACCATAGATACTGTAGTCTGACTGGCTTTAAATCTACTGAGATTCTGAAGTTGTCAAGTACTAGTGTTTTACATTATCAGCTCAAGGTCACAGGAGTCAGTTAGTATAGAGGATCAGAGTTTTAAAGCTATTTAGGCACCTTGCTACCTTTAAAAATCTAGCCAGAGTATTTTAAGCATGGCCAAATAGCCCCGTGTAAACCTACCCATCCTCTTCCTGTTAGGGTCACACCGGCCTCCACAGGTCCAAATGTTGCCAGATGATACTTTAGGAGGAGAGCAAACTGTGACTGTGCAGTGCAAGTGCACCTGAGAAGAAAGGAGAACTACTTGTTAGTATGGGATCTATTTGCTTTTACTTTTCACCTACCACTTACCAAACCTATGCTTGTAAAGGGCCACGTCTATCGGAGTGGGCATTGGATTTCTACTTCTGTGTTAAGGATCTTTTTATATGAAAGAGGTCGAGACAGGACCCACTAGCCATGCAGAGGCTGTACAGAAACTGAATCTATAGTGCCAGGTGTGGCTGCCTGCTTATTAAGAAGCTCATGCCAAAATTGCCTCATGTTGGTTTCCAGTGAGTTGAAGGGATGTTACCTGAGGTTGAAATGGCAAGGTTGTTTTTTGGCCTGGTTACTTGAGGCAGCTACTATCAGTGCTAGAATCCACTCCGTTTAGAATGGGAAGAGCTACTGGCAAGGCATCCTAAGGTGAACAGCTCTTGACTGTCACCTGTTTCCTTCCCTCACCAGGCTTGCCAGAGGCACAGGTTAGCATTTTAGGCATCCTGCCAATCCACCTTTTCCTCTGCCCTCCCCACTAGCCAGGCATTTAAGTGAACTGTTGGAGGGGATGGGATAGATGCAAGTGAGCTGAGTGGTATTTCATATGGCTGTTATGGCACGTGCTGGTTTGCCTGGTTGACTTTGTGCCAGATATTTGAGTTGAGCACCAGGAGTCCGATCCTATAAAAAAAGTCAAACTGTATGAGTTATATTTCCATACCAGGCCCTTTACTTTACTCCAGCAAGTGCCACTTTAAATCACTAAAGCTGTGCAAGGCAAATTTTGGCTTTTGAGGAACCAGCCAAACTAAAGTGCACATCAGTCAGGCTTATTGGTCTGTCAACAGTTCCTTAGCTGGCTAAGTCATAAGCTCAGTGTTACCCTGAAGACGCTTAAATTGGGCCTCTTTTCAGAGAGGAAGTTAGGTTAACACTTTAAAGTTTGTTCCTCAGTATAAATATATTTCCTCAGTTTAGAGGATACAAGTGTTAAGGTATCATTTCACAGCCTAGATTCTCTAATTTCTCTTAATCTTACCTGTCCCAGCAGAGGTATCAGCATCCTTACTGCCAGTCTTTTAAAGTGAGTGGGATGTTTCACTCTCCTACTAACAGATACTGGATAGAACTCTGTAACACATTTGTTGTTTTCGTTCCCACAGCTATTTGAGAGATCAGAGCAACAGCACAGTTAGAAGTGATCAAGATGCTTCTCATGAACAGTTTTGTCATTTAAGCTACTTCTACTTGCCCATCCACAGTAATGTTCCATTGTGAGGTGCTTTTGAAGTCTGAAGACCAAGTCATCCAGCAGTTATTCAAGTGTAATTCAACATTGGGTTCCTCATCTTTTAGCTCTACCTCAAAAAACATGGGCTCCAAGGAAGATTTAACTATTGTCAAATTTGGTTCATAAAGTTCCATGAAAGATTCATCTTGAAAAGAATGGGTTTGGGGATTTTGTTAATCAATTTAAGACTCATTTGATACTATCCTAGTTTTCAAAGAAGGAAGCTTACCTTTGGATACCCTTGTGATTATATTCAGAACTTGTCTGGTCCTTCTGTGTCCTACAGGAGATAAAGTTAAGGATGGGCTTTTATAAGAAGCCTCGAGATAAGAGTGCTTACAACCACTAGAGTCACACAAATGTTTTAAACTGGACGGGGGGCGGGGGGGGGGGAAGAGGAGAAGAGTGATCTACCTGCAACACTTGATCTCACCATCATTGTACCATAGCCAAAACGAGGGGATCCATTTGTAGGTAGATCGCTAACCATAGCAATATGCATCAGTCTCTCTTTTGTTGGGTAATAGCACAAGACTGTCAATCTACAATAAGAGAATTATTGTAGACACTTTCCAGACACGATCACTATACTGAGTGGAGTCAGTGAGCAGGAGGAGTCCTACCTATAATCTGGATCTCTTGTGATTTTAGGTGGTCCCCATGCTGGGAGAATCTCTTTCTCATAAGATATTTCATTTTCATAAATAATGTGATCACCTTCAAACTGTGCAAGCCAAAAATGGATTAGAATTTGAGTTTACTCAGAGAGTAAAAAAAAAAAAAAAAAAAAAAAAAAAACACACACCTCTTCACAGTTGCTTACCTTTAGTGAAGTGCCGCAAGTGGAGACATGGAACTGGAAGAAGGCTTGTTCTTCATTAAATTCTTTGGGCTTGCAGGTGCTGTCTTTCAGTTTTATTTTGCCCATATCAATGGAAGGAATAGTCTTCATTGGGGCAGATACTGTTACAGTTCCATTAGGGTAGCACACTAAGAAAGTCAGAGAGGCTGTTAGATTCAGGAAAGCCATCGAGTTCCATGCTGTAGCTCAAGACCTATATAGCTTACCTATAAATTCTGAAGAATTAAAATTGCAGCTCACAGAAAATATTTTTATGGTCTCCAAAGTATTTGCTTTCCTGAGTGCAAGATCAAACCTAGTTTTGAGTCTCTGAAAGGACACTTCCTGTAAAGAAAGTGACAATATTTCTCCAGTGAAAATAGTTTACCGATCAGAGAGAGACTGCTCTCTTTAGTTTGATGCTACTTTAAACACTAGCAAAGATAAAAAACATTTGAGACAAGCGTGAAGACTTAAGCCTGGTCCAACCTGGGTCATAAGTCAAGTTTACTAGTGCAGACTTGTTAGGCCTGGTACCAGCTGCATACGTTTTGACTGGCTATTGTAGAGTAGCCTAGATGTGTATTATAATCTAGATTTTTACATGGGCTAAATGCAACTTTAGCCTAGTCACTCTGTTAGCAGGAATTCTTTAGCAAGAATCATGTTTCAACATGGTGCCTGACCCAATATGGACAGGACATTTGTCTTAACACCTGACAATTTTGTGTTTGCTTCATATGTATGGGGACCACTTGAGCCATTGCACTGTGTAAATGAATGCAGTGGAATCATAGGTCAGGAGTCAGATCTCTTGTTGTGGTTGTGTTTACTCTACTTATTGGAAAGTCATTTATTTCCCCTTGATATTTTCTGCATTAGAAGTGGTTACTGTAACATTACAAGACAAGCTTGGGAGTGAAATGCCTTTCCTTCCTGATAAGAAATCTTTTAGATACCCAAAGCCTTACAACGTAGTCTACATACCTCATAGATAATCCCCATAGTAAACAGAGGTACTTGCAACACCAGATGGGTAGAATTGGTCGTCAGGAGATACCTATTTGAGAGCACAGTTTGCTGATTCAGAAGTTTGTTACCAACATACAGGTTCCAGTACTGATACAGAGCTGAAACGGGAACTGCTAGATACAGGTTCTCTTTATCACAGTAACCAACTGCTTCTGGTAGTTCTGTGAAAGAAGACAGGACATAGATTGGACATACAGTTTTAGTTACGGCATTAATTCTTATCATGGAGAAATCATTTGTATTGATACTACAGATTGTATTAGATACCTAGTATCATTTTAGACTGCAAGGTATTGCATCCAAGACATGGCCAAAAGTCCCAGTTGATTAGCAACTGCCCGACTGACATCAGGCTAAACTACAACTTTGGTAAGACTAGTGGGGCTTTATTTTATCTCAGCCTCCTTTCACCTCAACTCAAAACATGTTTTCTAAGTGTATGTCTACACCCAGCCGCTAGTTCGGCGGCTGGGAATCGAAGTTCTGGGTTCGACTTATTGCGTCTTGTCTGGACGCGATAAGTCGAACCAGGAAGTGATCGCCGTCGACTGCGGTACTCCAGCTATACGAGAGGAGTACTGCGGCGTCGACGGGGGAGCCTGCCTGCCGCGTGTGGACCGAGGTAAGTTCGAACTAAGGTACTTCGACTTCAGCTACGTTATTCACGTAGCTGAAGTTGCGTACCTTAGTTCGAATTGGGGGGGTAAGTGTAGACCAGGCCTCAGATGAAGGCACTACAGTCAGAAGGATGTGTAGCCGGGCGCATTGTAAAACCCAGAAGTTGGAGAGAAAGTCAACTACTAAGACCTACTACTTGGCAATCTGATCTACTTTGAGCAATTTTGCCATTTCTAGAGTTTACAGAGCTGTGTCTGGGCCAGTTGAACTTTACCCTGGATGTAAAAGCTGGGTGATTTCAGCTTGTCCTAATGTAAATATCTGGAAAATATTACCAGTAGATGCAATGATACTAAAGTTGATTGGGTTTGTCTAGTTTCACATCCTCACTGGATTTGGCTAGCCATTTTTTTTAAACGTGGTGCCTGACCCATGACTAGGTTTTTATTGCTTATAGCATCTTCAGGGCAGATAATTAGACTTGACAGAATGAAGAACTGCCATCTGAAAAGCAGCAAGCTAGCTATATTGCCAATAATGAGCAATAATAGAGTGGGATTTTTCCAAAAAGCTCTCATCATTGGCCTAATTTAGTTTCCATTGGAAATCAATGAAAATCCTCCCCATACTATACCAGTCTCAGTCAGTCAGTACGGGAGGAAGCTTACCAATATCAGCAACCACACATTCTATTTCTGCTGGATGATTATATGGTTTCATTTCAGGACCCACATCTAAAGTATAGTTAACACGGAGGGTATATTTTGTTTCATTTCTATTCACATACTGAAAGAAAGTTAGAAGAGAGTGAGGGGTCAGCAGCATTTGCTTCCAGCACAGACAAGAATGTATTTGCTGCGCACACATACATTTGTTCCCCACAATAGAAAATGACATTGATCTTACTGCTTCACATAACAGCTCTGTATGAGCTGGGGCAAGACTGTGTTGAAGTGTTTGCATTTAACCACCCATTTCAAAACACAAGGAGGTTAGATCACCCACCTAAACTTATGCCCTTTTACAAACTTGTGCTGCAAACGTGCCCAGCTCCAGGCTTCCACATCTTCTTGTAATCTGTCTAGTATCTGCTCAAGTCACAGTTTGAACTGCATTATGTAAAAAGCAGGTTCATGAATGGCTGGATGTTTGTTGGACAAGGAACAGATCACTTTGTTTTTCTAAGTTAGGCAGTCCTATCCCGACAGGCAGTTATTTAATAGATTGGATAAGATCCTGCTGCTGAACAATGTGTGCATGACTCCTATCCCAGTTAACAGAAGCATCGGAAGAAGCCATAGTTTGTACGTCATTTAGTCACACCTGAAGTTGCATTTTGCCCATAGTCCTATACCGGGCAGGGCAGATGATCAAGACTTTCTAAACAGAATATGAATTCAGATCAGGCTAGTGAGCCCTTCGTTGACATTGCATGGTTGGTGGTTATTGGTGCCAGATGTATGTTTTGAGCAATGGCTGCCCTAACATGTTCACATGACAGTCATAATGTGTCATGATCTCCCACATCATAGCAGAGCTGGTTGGGAATTGTCCAACAAAGTGGTTTTTGCTGGAAGTTAAAGTGATGATTCATCAAACCCAGAACTGTTTGCAATTGATTTTGACTCTAAAGTTTTTTGAAGTGTCAAAAAGTTTGTTTTTAAATGTAGGTTCTGTCTACCCTACAACCTAGGGGTGTGATTCCCAGTTAGCATACACATACTTTCGCTAGCGAGAGTATAAATAGTAGTGAAGCCACAGAAGGATGAGCAGCAGCATCCTGAGTGCAAACCCACCTGAACCCCATGGGTACCTAAGTGGTACAGCCAAGCCATGCCGCCACCACTCTCATTGAGCTAGCATAAGTATATGTATATGAGCTGGTAATCACACCCCTAGCTTGTTGTGTAGCTGTAGCATTATGTTAAATTATAGTACATGTAAAATGGTTGAAACCAAAGTGAGGCATTTGGGGTTCATGAAAATTTGAGATTTTTAATTTTTGTCCTGAAAGTTTCAATATCTTGAAAGTTTGTGGGATGGGAAGAACAGTTTCCTACTGAGTGCTACATTGTAGCTACCTTATCTTACCTCCTTCAGAACAGTAGGATCATCAAAAGGCACTTCTAAGTTAAATCCCTTTGTTCCATTGGGGAAAGTAATTTCATAAACTTTGTACCCATGACGCTCTGCCTCTCTTGGAGAAAGTGGCACATTTTCTATTGTGATTGTCACCAGAGAGACGTCAGGAAGAAAAGATCCAAATGCAACATCAAATGTTCTCTTCTCTGGAAGAGTATCTGTTAGGTTGATAGCATATAGTTACTGCAAATGCTTATCTATTACTGTAGGACAATTAGAAGCCTCCCATTTTGCTGTGCTCAAGGGAGCTTATCTAGCGGTCAACTCTTAATGGTTCTATTATTAATGTTCTAGTCTGAGCTACTCTGATTACATAGGAATTTTTACCCCAAGCGATGGAAGATTAAATATACACAACACGCTTGAAGGAATGTAAGTGTAATTACTTTCTAGAGATCTATTATAAGAGTCCAATGACATCTCTGTGTTACAGGCAGGGAATCGAGACTGGACAGATATTTGGAATATGTAATAAGGTAGTGCTACTACATTAAAAGCATCCCTTTGATTTAAAAAATAAATTATCCAGGTAACTATAAAGATGTCAAGTCATAATGATGTAACAAGAGATGAGCTTTTGAAAAACGGAGTGGCAAGCACTCTATTCCAAAAGTAATGATTATAGGCGTAAGGTTGGGAGGATGAGACATCCCTCCTCATTTGACGCACCCCGCAGACATTCTTTCCCTACAGTTGGTTAGTCACACTTTGCATGATCTTTCCCATTGGGCCCCACTTAAAGGCTCAATGGAAAACATTGGTGGAATTAGGGCTTTTCTTCACTACAGGCTAAATCGGCGCTGCTGTGATTGATGCAGCGGTGTCAATTTAATGGGTTTGGTGAAGTGCTCTCCCGTCGACTTCAGTACTCCACCTCAACAAGAGACGGAAGCTATGCTGACGGGAGACACTCTCTGGTCGACATAGCGCGGTGAAGATACAGCTGTAAGTGGATCTAAGCTACATTGACTTAAGTCACGTAACTTACATAGCTTAAATAGAGTAATTTAGATCAATTTATCACGTTAGTGTAGACAAGGCCTTATTGTGGCAGAATCTGGTGTTCTAATCAGCAACTCGCATCAAATCCCTAGTGATTATTCTCCATTTTGCCCCTTATTTGCAGATCTTAACCATAAGGAAGTATCTGCGTGTAACAGAATTGTTTAGTTTTATCAAGATTTAGATCTAGACATTCACGTCACCTGAGAGCCAGCTAGCTAGCTAACTAAATGAAACTTCCCAGTTAAGTGAAGAATTTTGGTTGGTATAAATTCACAGCAGAGGCAACACTAATAACTCATTAGAGACAAAGAAAAACAAAAACAAAAAAAGAAAGATGAGCACCATCTTATTATTGAGCTAGCCAGAGGAGTGACTTACTGTTGATGACTGTCGGTATTCGAGGCATGAAAGGTGTAGTGATGGGCTTGATCACAGTGTACTTAGTCATATGCCAATCTACATCTGTCCAAGTGTGCTCCAAGAATAAGTTGATGCTATAGATTACGCCATGGACTCCATTGGCTACAGTGCTCTAGGAGACAAGATTTTAGACATACCAAGTAGTATTGAGCATGGATACGGCTGCAGGTTTGTTACCGGGGGGGTGGGGAAGTCACAGGCAGCCTGATTTTCCCATTTGTCCATGACTTTTTCCTCTGTGCTCCAGGTCAGTGTCTGACCCAACTCTCCATTATGATTGGAGGGATGTCTCCCATTTTGTCCTTTAACTTTGGTAATTTGCTAGGGTGGGCCATCATTTTCAGAGTAGAGCTGGCTTGTGTTACAAACTGTCTTGGTGCAAGGTATCCTGCAGACACACTGCAAAGTTAAAACAATGAGGAGTCCTTGTGGCCCCTTAGAGACTAACAAATTTATTTGGGCATAAGCTTTTGTGGGCTAAAACCCACTTCATCAGA